TCCAAAGTCTCTATTAAATTGTTTAAAACATATACTCTTTAAACAAAAGATTAACAAAATACCTCTCTGATAATTTCTAAGAAGATTACAAGCTATTGTGGTTTTGAATTCCACAAATTTATACATAGAAGGAGCCAGATGAAAGAGCCAAGCTCCCTTACTTTTGTCTTGTGATCACTACCAACAGAAAAAAGCTTCATCAATTCAGCATATTTCAATCACCCAAATATTCCTTATTGTTCATTGTTCCACACCAAAAGTTACATTTAGAATTAGCAACATATTTTTTCTAAAGATCTATTATCCAAAAAGTAATTTATTTTTTATATTTACCAAATTTTTTTATTTTCTGAGGCTTTATCATTTCATCCCTGATCCTAAAAAATATACTAATAGTACCTTCTGATGTTCTTAAAATGGTGTTATTGATACTATAACTGCTATATTTGAAAAATTATACATAATTGTTTCTGAAATAAAAATGCTTTAAAAGAAAACTTTAACACCTTAAAGCTATAATTAGAACAATCTTTACTACCATTACTAAAGTTCTGTAAAACTATTACTAAAATTCTATAAAGCAAACCCCAACCCTTACATAGCACATGATTCATGCCCATCAATTACTACTCAGTCTTTAAAAGGTAGGAACTATTAACCCATTTTACAGATCAGAAAAGTGGACCCTTTCAATACTATGTTGTCTCCTAAAAATTATATAAAACACGGTGTTTAGGTAAGAACAATTCAACTCCCCTTTATGTTCACGCCACTTTGCAATGGGAGTCAAAATATTAAGAATCAAATGTACTTATTTCACTTAAAATGTTTGTAAATGCCTCAAAAATTTTTCAAAGGTACAAGTACTAACAGAATAATTAAATGTGTAAGCAATTATTTAGTTCTGTTCCTTCAGCACCTCCCCATATACTACTCCCACATAACATTTTATGTTTGTGAGATATTAAAGCCCTATTTTAGTCTAAGTTTCTATTTCACTGATAATTAAAAAACAAGCCAAAAATCCCCACATGTAACTCATCATATGCTGCTCCATCCCTTCCAAGAGACAGACATAGGCTGAGTCCTGAAAGTACCTCAATAGAGGGTGGGAATTCCTGACTCAAAAACCTGTCACATGGGGCTGGGATTATAGCTTCAGTTGGTAGAGCGCTCACCTGGCACATGTAAAGCACTTACAAAATAAAGGTATTTGGTCCATCTACTATAAAAAATATTTTTTAAAACCGTGTCATATGTTACCTATTTTTCTAAAACTTATCTCCTAGGTTTTATATGTTAACTTCCACATTAATCAGCATCCTCTAAATAAATGCATACCTAAGATATATACTTAAGTGAATCCTATTCAGGGTTCCTGTTCAACTCTGAATTTGAGACTACCAATAATCTATGAAAACCAGTACTTAAACCATGTGGAAAACATAATAATTATGGAGCAACAAAGATGTATTCTACAACACGGTTAAGTGCCTCAAAAATTTTCATCTTTACAAAACATACTGCAACCAAAAAATAACATTATGAAAATTGTTTATTTAATTTTCTAACGTGCAAGGTTTCTCCAGATCTACTTTTCAATTTTGGAAAATTAAACTCCAAGAATGAAACAATTGAGCACTTAAAAATAACACTACTATTTCTAGTTCAAAATCACAGAATTTCAGATTAGAAAAATTTCAATCCACTCTTTCACAAATAAGATAACTAGGGAAAAGAGAAATGCCAAGATTTTCCCAAGATTACCTGCAAGCTGTCAGCAGTGTTTAAGATACAATACAAAAAAAAAAAAATCCTGACTCTCAACCTACTAAAGGGTCTACTAAAAATTTTTCCCATAAGATGTTAGAAATATGCAGACATCTCTAAAGTGACAACTAGAAAGCACACTTAATAAACCAACTAGTTCAATTACTCAAACTAAGAAACAAATGACAAGTTTTCCTTTGTCCAAAAAATGTTTGGTTTTTTTCTTATTCTATAAAAAGTTCACCTATATACTTGGTTCCATTTAAAAAATAAGATTCTGACAAATATTTGAAAAATGCCCTTCTGCTTTAAAATTAATGTTTTTAAAAATTTATATAATCTGAATAAAATTATATCAGTGCCAAAACAAATCCTATCAAATTTCATTCATTTTGTTAAGAATGTTTTAAAACTCAACATAGATGGTAACAATTAGTCATATTTTATAATACCAAAAGCAAAAATAATGCTTGGATTATGAATATTTCCTACTTCAATCACACCTGAAATAAATGCACTGGTTTTATTTTTATTTTTTTAACCATCAACTTTAATACTGCTCTTTAAACTCCATATTCTTAACTGAAATCCAATCATTGTGATTCTATCTGCAGGCTAACTAAAAATGCTGATCAGTGCCCATAAGTACAAATATACACCCTTTCCTAACTTGCTAAGATTTTCTAATTTTTCTAGAACTTGCAATTTGACATTTGAATTTTCCCATTTAAAATACTGCTCAGTTTATCAGTTAACATAGCAATCATTCCCAGGCAGAAATAGAAGCTACATAAATTAGTTTTACTCACCTAATGGTCTTCAAACCATTATTAAATAAATTCAACTTGATACACAACAATGTAAAACTTGTTTTAAGTCATAAGAGTAAATTAAAACAATAGGAAATACTGCAAAAGAAATGAGCATGTGCTCACTTAGACACAACATTTCAGGATCTATCAAACAACAAAACAAAATGTGCTCAAAAACCTGGTAATCCAGAACATTTTTAAAACTAAGTCTCAAAAAAAAAAAAAAAAATCTAATGAAGTTAACCCAAGTAGCCACATACATAGATATATATTTGGACGGATATGAAAGCACCTTAAATGGTGCCTTGCATCCAGTATACACAGTAAGCAATATGCTGAATGAAAAAGAGAAAATGAATCAAACTCCCGAGTTTAATAATAACTTTTAACTGCCTTATGAGTATGCCAACAAGACTGTTCTAGTAAGTTGAAAACTCTGAAAGCAAGAAAAAACACTTGCATGCAAAATAGGCTGATTTTGATAAGTAACACACTTAAGACAATTCTTACTGTACTTTAAATCTGAAAAACAGACTAGGAATATAAATTCTAACATGTGGAAGATGAGAAACACTTCTCCCCTTCCCCAATTAAATCACAGTTAAAAATTTTAAATGATTCCTAGAAGGAATCACAATTAGCTGCTTCATTTAAAAAAAAAAAAAGTAACATTACCGAAGGTCTCCAAGAAAACAGCAATTCTCAGTGACTTGCACTTAAAAGATATTTTGTAAAACCTACCCCATCTTTAAAATGGAATATTAATATTACCCTTGTGATAATTTTCTCAAATAGCATGGAAGACATAGAAATCCACTTACAATTTTTGTCAAATATTTATAACAATAAAAATTTCAAATAATGGTAAGTAAATCTTGAACTACTTCAAACTCAATTCATTTTAACTAAGTATTGAATATAAAACTACCCTAAATCACTACTTGAAAAGTGACACAACTTAAGTGTGGAAATGAATACACTGCTAAGTCTCCATTAGATTTATTAAACTAAAGTACCCTTAGTATTTAACAGCTGTGAGCAATGATCTATAACTGACATTAAATAAGAGACTTAAGCACACAAAAGCTAGGAGATGTACTATACCCAAAATAAAATAAAAGCTATCAAAATTATGCTCATGACTTCACTTCACATGAGACATTCATTCTGAATTAGGTGAAACTTCCTGATCATTACAGAGGCCCTGATGAGGTAACATTAGTAATTATAAGTATCTCAAAGTGAGTTACAATCTCTCGTAAACTCAATGCACTGCCTAAATTTCAAAAGCTTGGTATGCCTCGGTGTGACTGCTTTAATTGTCCTACACACACATTCATATAAACAACTTAAATCAGTTTAGGCAAAGAAAATACTATGGAAAGCATAGCTCCTTTTAAACTAAACTTTACAGTAACTACTTTTCTATTCACAATACTAAAAACGGAAGGTCACTTTCGGGAAGGAATTTTTAGAAATTACTAAAATATTCACGTTGAAAACCCACAAAACTAAAAAAACAGGTATTTTCCAATCTATTAAACAAAATATATCGCAATATTAACACAAAAAACTTATCAGTCAAGTTCCATACTACAGTAGATATTTATCAAAACTCCCCAATGTCTTTCAATAATAGTTTTTAACTAAAAGTGGGGGGGCATACCAAGAGAATTAACAAAATTAGAGAAAGCCTGTTAAAACTTCTGGTTTTACACTTAGGCAAATATGTTCCGGCAAAAACGCGCCGCTAGCCAACTATCATCACATACCGAACTCCTCCGATTAAAAAACAAAACAAACAAACAAACAAAAAAAAAAAACCCAGCTCTGAATTTAAGAAAGGGACGACCAAATTAAAAAAAAAAAAGAAAGAAAAGAAAAAAGAAAAAGTCTTGCCAAGGTTCCGCAGCGGCTGAATAGCCTGCTTGTGAAATGCTAATGCCACTTCAATGCAGTTAGTCACCAGCTATTGTGTAGGGCAGGAGAAAGCCTAGCCTGCCGCGCGTGCAAAGCGAGCAAGCTTGCGCGCCCTCCCTCCTCGCGCAGCTCGCGCTACTCTCGCTGCTGCCGCTGCCGCCGCCGCCGCCTTGAGCGCGCCGCCGCGACCGCACGGACGCGCGCGCCGGCCCCTCCTCCTCCGGCCTTGCACTGCACAACACTCATGACGTATCTTTATTTCTAGCACATTAACAAAATATCACAAATAAATTGTCCGCAGCCCCTGCGGCCCGGGGGTGCGGGTCCCCCCAGCCATTGCCCCCTGAACCCCCCACGCCGGCCTACCAACCCTCCCCGTGGCCTTTGGAGCTTTCACGTTCTGGGGCCAAGTTTTTGTCTCTGTAAAAAATTGCGGGAAATTCAATTTTTATTCGACTCAGGGAAAAGTTTCTTTGCTCTGCGACGTGAATGCCTCACCAGATTCTGGTAGGTCCTGGGATGCTCCTTCCCGGTCCAGTCGGTGCGCCGGGGCAGCAGCTGCGGGGAGAAGACGCCCCGTGAGCCCGGCCCCCGGCCCCGGCCCGCCCGATCCCCTCCCCCGCCCGCCCCGCGCCCCGCCAAGGACCCCGCGCCCCGCGCCCCGCGCCCCGGCGGCGGCGGCGGCGGCGCAGCGGCCCAGGGGCAGCCGTGCGGCGGCGGGACGCGCCGGGCCGCCGCCGCCCTTACCTCCTTCTCGGCCACCTCGCGGATCAGCACCTGCAACAACAAAGCGGGGAGAGCTAAGCCCCGCGCCCCGGGCCGCGGCCCCCGTCGCCGCCGCCGCCTCCCTCCCCCACGCCCGCGAGCGGAGAGCGGCGAGCGCCGGCCCGGCCCGCGCCGCGCGCCGCCGTACCTGAGCCGCCTGCTGACAAGGTCCATCTTCCAAGAACCGGGCGATGAGGAAGTAGAGCTCTGCGCGGGAGAGAGGAACGGGGAGACACACAGACTGAGCGGCCGGGCGGCGGGGGGCGGGGGACCGCGGGCGGAATCGCCCGGTGCCAGCGGCCCCGCAGCCTCCCGACTTACCCGATCGCAGCTCCGAGAGGCCTTTCCTCTCACAAGACATGTTTATGGGTCACTTCGGGGCCGCCGGCGGGACACCCCGCCGCCGAGGGGAAGCGGGGATGGTGCCGCCGCCTGCCCTATAGCTGTCAGTGTGTGTTCACGAGCCGAGCCTCGGCTCCACCATTCAAGCAACGGCGGCGGAGGCGGAGGAGGAGGAGGAGGAAACAACAACTCTCAGGCAGCGGCTACGGCCGTAGCCGCCTCCGCCGTGGATCCCTCCGCCGCAGAAAGGAGTCCGCCGCCTTGGCGGCCCGGGGTTCGCTGGGGTCCTCGGCCCGCGCCCCCGTCCCCCCACCCGGGGGACAAAAAAAGGAGTGCCTCCGACCCCTCGCCCCCAGCGCCCGGCACCCGCCACGGCGCGACCCTCGCCCCTCCTCCTGGCCCGGAGCGCGATTTATTTATTTATTTCCAATCGGAGAAGATGTCGGAGCCGAAGCCGCCGGTTGGCTGGAAGGCGCTTTCTCTGTGGAGGCCGATAGCGGGAGGGAGGGGGCCGGGAAGGATTCGCGGAGGGATCTGACGCACACGGTGCCGCAGCACTGGGTCTATTCAGCGGCGCTGGCTGGGGCTGAGATGGAAGTTAGTTTCTATGTAGCAGAAATAGGAAACAAATGAAGCAAAACTGCCCAAAGAGGGGAAATGCCCCGAGGATGGGTCGCACTCTCACGCGCGCATACAGACACACGCAGAGAGCACTCTCACGCTGAGCAAACTCGGGATCGCACTGTCTTGCCCGAGTTGAATGATAGTGTTTGGTTTCTGTCTCTTGCCATGTGCATGTGTATAAATGCTGCGGATTGGCATCTGTGTAAGTCTTGTCCTGCGTTATTTCTGCAGCCTATGCAAGTGTTGTGTAATTTATTGGAGTGCTGTATATTGAAATTGAGGTTCGGGCTGCTTTTTGTTAAGCACTTGGCGTTTTGGAAACCCGTTATTTGCTGAAGCCACCTCTGCATATTTCTTTTATTACTACCATTGCCTTAAGCATACGTTTTTTAAAAGATTTTTTTTTTTATTGTTAAACCACGGCAAAGCGAACTCCTGATTTGTACTTCAGATACTCTTTCCTGATTACAAAAAAAAAAAAAAAAAAAAAGGCTAGTGATGGCTAATTAGGGATTTGGGATTTGAGAACCTTAAAGCTTTTTAAAATGTTTACAGGAAGGGATAATGTTAACGTGAGTGAAAGGAAGGGACGCTAATATTTATCTTTTACTGATCTAGAGGTAATTTAGTGACAGATCGATAACCTACCCGAAGGATACTGAAAGAGTATACCACCGCTTAGCCAAGGTGATTAGTGATTAAATAATTTAAATTATCTGTGTATCTTGCCGTTGACTTCGTCATGCTAATTAATGGCTTCTAATTTGAGGTATAAACCATTACTGTTTACAGTTAATCACGGAAAGACTTCTTGAAAACTGACGAAAAGAGAAAAAAAATAATCTTTCGTAAATCAGTATGTAATTACCGGTTTTATATGCTAAATCATACATCTGTATGTTGCTGATGAGGATAAGGGCCTTGTTTTTTTTTTAAAAAAAAAACCAATATGGGTGAAATTAATGGAAACAATAGAAAAAAAACATTTGTTAGAAAACAAGGACACCAAAGATATTTATCTCCGGATGATTTAAGCACTTTCCAAAAAGACTTGAGAGTTCAATTCTTTTTAAGGTTTGCATTTTAAAGGAAATTAGGGTAGTCATTCTTTTGTTAACATTTAACAAAAGATTCTCCTTAAAATTTTTAGATGATAAAATGCATATTATGGGTTTGGTTTTAAAAGGTTATTTGTGAGGAAAGGACCAACAAGCTGTATTGTGATTTTCTAGATTGTTTCCTCAAGCCTTGTACCCTCCTAGCTCCTTACATTCCTAGTGGGAAATACTTGCTGCTGTTGCCTTGGGCTGTGCACTACAAGACAGCACTGTTGTAATGCCCTGTACTAAAACATCCAAAAATCATCATACATGGAAGGAAGAAGGAGAAAAGCCTCAACCCCTTTGGAATAATAGGATGTAAAATTACCTTTTGCAACTCTATCTTAACAAAATAAAAATGGGAAGTTACCATGATTTGTCCTATTGCAGGCTGGTTATCAGAATAACTGTTATTTCTTGACATAGCTATCTTAGATTTCTGAAAATATTTGCATCTTTAAAAACATTTGATTCTATTCTAATTATTATAGGCAAAGTAACCTACTTCTAGACGGTTAGCCAAAAAATAGAGATATTTTACATGCTTTTTTTTTTTTTGCAGTTGTACTTATTCTCTGATGCTATCTTAACTTTTTAAAAAGTATGTTTTTCAAATAATCATGGTATCTTACATTATTGTGATGTTCTTCAAATTAACAATTTTAGGAACTAAAAATTCTAATTGGGAATTTCGGGTTTTGAAATGCTATTATTTTGATATTAATTTGAAATGATATTAGTTTGATTCTTACCAATAGATATTTTATCCTTATAAAGGAAAATAAACCAAAGTATGACAAGGAATATAAAATTACTCTGAGTAAAGTTTCAATATATATCTTATGGGAGTGATATAAATATGGACAGCTGTTATGATTGTCTCATGTATGTTTTTCATTGAGAAGCCATGAAAGCTTTTTCCTAAATATGCTACTAGTACGTAGCTTCTAAAAAATTTTTCATGAAAAGTTTCCTTTTTTAATGATATTCCTGTCAATTTTACTAATCTTTGACAATATTTTTAGTTTCTTTTTAAAATATTCTATTTGAAAACAGTTGAAACACTGCGTTTGAACTAATTGCTATAAGTTTGTTATAAGAAAATATAGATTTCCTGACAAAAACTTCTCTGCAGCCAAATAAACTAATTGTTTTTAGCAACAGATATTAAGTTGAACTTTAGCCAGTCCTTCAAATGTAATTTAAAAAAAAAAAATTCACACAATCTTTTAATTTCTTTAAACATAAAACACTTTTCTGAATTCTGGTATCATAGATTAACTATAAAGTTTATTAAGCAATTTATTATGTGTATGTACACAAAAAGTTTATACATATCAAATAGAAAGAAAATCTTATTTAGAATTCCTACATTGTAGATCCCAAAGTAATGACCTTTACAGTTCTTTATTTAACTAACTCTTTTGCATATAAGGATAATTCAGATTTCATCAATAACCCTTTTTGTTTATTTAACTTAACTTTTTCTGTATTTCAAAAATAAAATGTCAGCTTAAAAAGATCTTCATACATTTTTAAATAGGAAGGCCCAAAAAAAAAAAAATAGTTCAAATTTGGAAAACCAACAACTAATATTTTTATATGATACTGTCTTTTTAAGAGAATTATAAACTTTTTTAAAATGAGAAAGTTTCTGTGAAATTCATCACTACATTTCATTTGGCATCATATGAAACAAGGTAAACATTTAATAAAAACTTTTGTCTTGATCTAGATAAGCCATTATTCCAGTACAATTTTGCTAGTTCTATCCGTTCTAGAATAAGATGAGACAGAATTTTTTAATTTGAAAAATTCCATTACATTTATGAAATATAGTAAGGGAAATAATACATAACAAAAAATCTCTACAAATAAAACTTGTTAAATATATGTTAAATCTTATTTCTATCTTGATATTATACTGCTTTCTCTAGCAAAAGTTTTACCCTATGAAATACAGAAATAGAAGACACCCTTTTCCACAAAATACCTGTAAAACTGCTGTCAATACAATCTTGTTTAATAGACCACACTTCTTCTTGTGAATCGCTCCCCAATATTGTGTGTTTCTGTCTATGCTTGCCTTTTTCTCAGCATATGCACCATCCCTCTTCCTTCACAAAGTATGAATATTTATCAAATTTGAAGCACATGAGTAGATATAATATTTGACTCCTACAGAAAGAACAAGGGTAACCACTTTTAAAAAGCCATTATTTAACTTTTGTTGTTGTTATTTAACATTATTTAACATTTTTCCCTGACATCTCACTGAAAAACCTTTTAAATTAGAGCACATTTTCTTTTAATCTGTAACAAAGATTATCTGGTCCCCAAAGATTATATAATCCCTTCTGTATTTACATGTTGTTAGTAATTCTCTCAACCTTTTCCTCCTCCAAATTAAATAATCCTAGTAGTTTAGATTTTTTATAAATCTTAATCTGCAAAAGAAATACACATCTTCATGGATTAATTTATGTTTTTTTCTAACTTACTTCATGAATTTAACAGTACAATTACAAAGATTAAAGGAGAAAAACAATTTTAGAACATATTTCCCCTAGATTTGGAGCAACACAGTGGATAAAGTAGAAAAAGCTGTTCCAGATGGCAGGAAACATAAAGGAGAAGTCTGCAGGCTTGTTCTATCATAGGAGGATGGCTGATGGACAGGGAGTGGGCTAGCCTGAAAGAACAGTGGAAGAAGAGAAGGTAGACATGCTGGGAGGGAGAATACAGAGGCTCTGTAAAGTTGCTGGTGATTGTGTTTCAAATAAATCATACTATTATAAAAGTGATATTAAGATTTGATTTAAACAGTCTTTTGCCTTTACTTATGCTTGAATTCATAACCTTCAAGAATCCAAAAAAAGGAAAATAATTTTAGTTATGGAAAAATAAGGTAGAAACTTATCTGACAAGTCATGAGGAATCTGTGCATAATAGAGATACTAGGAACCAAGGACACCAAAGTAAAAATACTATTGGTGAAAAAGGAGAATGGTTTGAAAGAAAAATATCTGAACTGGTGTTCACTGACTGTAAGGTCCAACTCAAAACTGAGAATGAAGTTAGATTTAACTGACTTTGTAATTTAAAAAAAAATGTTCTTTTCAGTTTTAGAAGTCTTATAAGATGCCTAATTATACAACCTTATTTATAAATTGCTCCCTCCCCATATATATCAGTACGCAAGTCTGAGCTCGCACACACTTGGTAAAGATCACCTTGACTGTCATTATAGTCCCTTTAAAAAAAAGGGACTATAATGTTTTAGTTGTAGTTGGACACAATACCTTCATTTTATTTTATATTTATGTGGTGCTGAGGATTGAACCCAGTGCCCCGCATTTGCTAGGCAAGCCCTCTACCGCTGAGCCACAACCCCAGCCAGTTATAGTCCCTTTGATGGATATGCTCATACACATTTATTGAAATAATGATTAGCTAACTAACACAAAGAATGAGTTCTATCTTAGAATTATAGAATTTAAAATAATATTGGTAGCAAG